GGAGAAGGAGCTTTACCTCAGCCACTGGCTCAAGGCCAAGCAGGAAACTCTCGACGGCAGTATCACCCGCTGCTTCTCTGAAGAGCTCGTCTCGGCGCAGAAGGCCGAGGGCTTCTCCGACGACCAGGCTGCTTACATCTCGGGCACGCTGCTCGAGGCCGGCTCCGACACCACCTCCAGCACTCTCTACGCCTTTGTCCAGGCCATGCTCCTCTACCCCGACGTCCAGCGCAAGGCCCAGGAAGAAGTCGACCGCGTCGTCGGTGGCAACCGCCTGCCCAACATGGAGGACGAGGACGACCTGCAGTACGTCCGCGCCATCATGAAGGAAGCCCTCCGCTGGATGCCGACCACGATCCTCGGCGCCGTCCCGCACGCCGTCACCCAGGACGACGTCTACAATGGCATGCTCATCCCCAAGAACGCCGGCGTCGTCAACAACGTCTGGGGCATCCACATGGACCCCAAGCGCCACCCGGACCCCCGCCGCTTCAACCCGGAGCGCTACATGGACGACCGCCAGTCCCTGGCCGACGCGGCCGCCAACCCCGACGGCAGCAAGCGCGACCAGTTCACCTTTGGCGCCGGCCGCCGCATCTGCCCCGGCATCCACGTCGCCGAGCGCTCGCTGTTTCTCGGCATCTCGCGCATCCTGTGGGGCTTCGACATCGAGCCCGCGCTGGACGCGCAGGGCAGGCCCATCATCCCCGACCAGGAGAAGCTCACGCAGGGCTTCGTGTGCATGCCCGAGGAGTTCCCGGCCAAGATCACGCCCCGGTCCGAGGCGCGTAGGGCCATCATCATGAACGAGTGGGCGGCCGCCGAGGCGGAGCTGCTCGACCCCGTGACGAAGCAGTGGAAGCAGAACCCGCTTGCGGCCGGGCGCACCAAGGCTTGAGGCGGTGCCGGTGGTGTCTGTATGTTTGTATAAGTACCTGAGTGAGAGTTGCGGGTCGTGTAGTTTTATGATGCCCCTTTTTTTATGTATATTTTGTTGGGAATTCTTTTGGGATGCGGTGCGGGCATTCACATCGCACATATCCAGTTATCTGTTGTGCTTCTCCTGTTTTGGCACGGGCACGGGGAGATGATTTGTTTACATGGAGTTTTTTGAGGGGGTTTTTTTTATGATGTGTGCACGCACGCACGCACGCACGCACGTTGGATGAATTGGTCACTTTTTGGACATTTTGCACGGTTTCGTGATGTTTGGGTTGTGATACAGCGGATGTGAAGGGCTGATCATGTAGACTGCAGTGCAAAGTCGGTGTGGGCTGTCATGCACTGCGAGTCAGGGCGGTTCAATATCCTTCTTGGCCGCTGCCAGCGTTCCCCGCGTCACGGTGTTCGACACCTCCCCTGTGCACACAACTATTTGTTATATTTTACACTGGTACCCGATGACTTATTTGCAGCAGCATGGATTCTCTGATCCCAAAGACCTCCGAGCCCGCAGAATTGAACCTTGATCTACACAAAGGTCAATCGACAACCCCAAGTACAAGCGAGAGGCCAAAAATCGCGGCGCCGAGCCCCTCTGCCGGGACCGTCTCCACCACCTACACCCACCAGACCCAGAAGCTCGGTAATGAAAAAAGCGTAAAAGGCCAAAGGAGAAAAACGGTCCACTCGTCCACAACCGCAGCCGCAGTCGCAGTCGCGCAGAGAAAAGAACGGCAGGGGTTGGGCGTGAGAGAACGAGACGAGACGAACAAGCGATCTGGGCCCGCCCCGTGGGGTCGCAGTGTGGGGTGGGGGCCATTGACTCGGTGCTTGTTCCCGTGAATCTCGGCCGGCCGGGTCTTTTTAGGCGGGCGGCGCGTGACCGCTGGCCGCTTTCAGGAAGCCTGAGCGCCCCCATCCCACCACCACTCCGACGGGGCGGGCGGCGGTCGACAGGGATGGCCTGCGTGGTCTTTTTTTTTTTTCTTCTTCTGTTCGGGGAAGGGGAGGAAATGAGCGGAGCTGGGGGATGACGCCGGACTACACTGATTGACTACTTACAGAACTGGAGACGATTGATTCCTTTTCAAAGTGCTGGTGTTGTTGTTGTCTGCCATCGTCTAAATTTGTCGCGATTTGTTGTTGTTGTTTGTTGGTTGCCCCTGAATCAAACACACCACCACCACCACAACCAACAAAATGTCCCGTGCCACCACCGCCCTCGTCGTGCCCGAGCTCAACGGCTCCTTCGAGCTGAAGCAGGTCTACCTCGACACGATCCAGCCGGACGAGGTGCTCGTCGAGATCCACGCCACCGGCGTCTGCCACACCGACCTCGCCTGCGCCGCGGGCCAGCTGCCCTGCGCGCCGGGCGCCGTCCTCGGCCACGAAGGTACCATCCCCCTTCCCCCCCAAAATCCACGACATCTCTAACGCCCCCCTCCCCTCAGGCGCAGGCATCGTCCTCGAGACCGGCGCGGGCGTAACCTCCGTATCGCCAGGCGACAAAGTCCTCCTCTCCTTCTCCTCGTGCGAGACCTGCGACCTCTGTGTCTCCGCACACCCAGCCTACTGCCGCACCTTCAACGACCGCAACTTTGGCGGGCAGCGCGCCACCCCGCCTCCCGCCGGCACCAGCCCGCGCACCATGCTGGCCTCCGCAAACGGCGCGCCCATCTTCAGCTCGTTCTTCGGACAATCCTCCTTTGCGCGCCACGCGCTCGTCCACCGCTCGTCCTGCGTCAAGGTCCCCCCCACCACAGACCTGGATCTATTCGCCCCGCTCGGCTGCGGGATGCAGACCGGCGCCGGCGCGGTGCTGAATTCCCTTGCCGTGAAAGACGGAAGCAGCGTGGCTGTCTTTGGCGTCGGCAGCGTCGGCATGGCGGCCGTCATGGCGGCCAAGCTGCGCGGGGCAAAGGTCATCATCGCTGTTGATCTGCACCAGAGCAGGCTCGACCTGGCCATGCAGCTGGGCGCCACACACGGGGTTATCGGCAGCGATAGGGACGTGGTCGAGCAGATCCGCACGATCGTGCCGCCTATGGGTGTCGATTTCGCGGTGGACTGCTCGGGTGTGCCCGCGGTGATTAGGACCATGATTGACGCGCTGGGCGTCAAGGGCCGCGCGTCGACGGTTGGCGCCCCGGGGTTTGGGGTGTGTGCGAGCGTCGATGTCATGAGCCATTTGACGTACGGCAAGGAGTATGTCGGGTGCACGGAGGGGGATAGTAATCCGTCGGTGGTGAGTTGTCCTTTTTTCTGTTTGAAAGACTGCACGTGGTATGGATTAGGGAGTTGACTGCACGACTGACGCGTGTTGAAACAGTTCCTGCCATACCTGATGGAGATGCACGCCAAGGGCCTGTTCCCCATGGAGGAGTTCATCACCTACTACGACGTCAAGGACTTTGCAAAGGCCATTGAGGATACCAAGAAGGGCAGGGTCATCAAGGCCGTGCTGCGATGGGGGTCGATTGAGTAGACTCGGAATCCTTTGGGAGTGAGTTACGCTGACGATGGACTGATGGATGGGTATAAGGGGGTAGGTATGAGACACGAACGAACTGGTTTGGTTTTGGCTATGGTTTTGGCTATGGTTTTGTTGCATTTTATTTAGCTTTTTGCTTTGGTACGATTGAGAATTCATTTTCTTCGTTTTCAGATCCAAGCTGGTGTCGAGGACTGGGTCGATGGCCGGGCTTTTTTCCGGCATTGGCGTTGTGCTGCGATGAGGCTAATTATACCAAGTGCCGTTCCGTGACATCAGGAGCATCGCATCATTCATACGAGAGGGGTATCAAATCCTGCGCCAACCTTGCTACTTCTGGATATCTGTAGTAAATATAAGGGTGAGCTATGACATTCCTTGTCTTGAAACCTCCCAACTTCTCCCCAAGTTCTTGGCGAACACTGTTCCGTTGGAATCCACATCGACCAAACTCGTCTAATTCCACAGGAACGGAAATACTATCCCAACCAGTTTTCTTTTTCCCGTTCTGGCAATCCCGTTATCCCTATCTGATTCCTCTGATTCAGTTCTGATTATTCTGTTCTCCTTATCCTATTCTACTTATCTTGTTGATTCTCCGGTTGTCTTTATCCTGTGTTATCTTCTCCTCTCCAGACCAAAGCCGTTTCAGCTTATCAATTGCTGCTTTTGACCAACGTATACGAAAGTCACTGACCCGCCGAGCTGATAACCATAGTCGACCAGGGACTTGTGTAACCTCTAAATCGATCACCCACAGTAATAAACCCTTTTGCCGTGGCGAGAAGAAGAACCAGGAAAGCTGCATGTGTTTGGCTTTCCGTTCAAGCCTCCGTGGGATGTTGAAACTTTGCCGGTAACGTACGACTGAAATTTACCTGAGTTCCCTTGCTAGTAATGAGGCTTTACATCCCGAATGGTATGCCCGCCAATTAATTGTCTGCTTCTCGGTCTTCGTGGTGGCCACCTAGGCCAAAGTCACTGTCCCCATTCCCGGTTTCCACGCAACGTCCCCGGCCCAGAGAGCCGGTGGATGAAAGAACACCGCTTTCAAAGATAGAAGACATCGATCCCCGCTTTAAATTCCCCCAAACGATATCCCAGGACTGCCCTGTCATCTTTCCTCTCCCCGTGTTTCGCCCAGTTTCAATCCGATTCCTCTCTTGACATACCCTTTAGCAACCAACCAACCTAACCCACGGAATCCGGTTTATCCCACCATGACCACAGTAGTGATGTAATGGAGATAGAACCCAGAACCAAACCTTAACCCCGTCCATGCCCGTCCAAACTCGGCTCAAACCGCACATAGACATAGCCCGTGACGAAACCCTCAACGCGGTGTTCCAAAGATCCACCCACACCCACACCCACATCTACAACCCCTGAATCCTCCAAGTGTCCACACCAGCCCCACACAACAAAACCCTAGTCTACTCCCTCAAACCCTACTCCCTCAAAACCCTACTCCCTCCATCGACCATGCATCGCACAGGTTACATACCGCAAAGTGGACACGAAAACCTCAACAACCACAAGCGGGTCCTCTCGATCCGCCTCTGTACCCGCCCGCATAGCTCAGTGGTAGAGCGCGTCACTAGTATCAGATCATCGCCATCAATGGCACGATCCCTTCACCAATGACGAGGTCTTCAGTTCAACTCTGGATGTGGGCAAGTTGCTTGCGTGTTCCGCAAGACACAACACTATTTCACCAGCCCGCATAGCTCAGTGGTAGAGCGCGTCACTAGTATTTCTGATCTTCTCGATCAGAGAGAGATCTGCGCCATGACGAGGTCTTCAGTTCAACTCTGGATGTGGGCATACCTTCACTTTTGTCATCCATCAGACATTGACGGGGAGAGGCAGTTTTCTTTTTGCTCGGTGGCCGGGTGCATCGTGATGGTCATAGTCGATGGAGGTGGTTGAGGTGGTTGCGGTGTCTGGCTGTTTTGCTTCTGTTCCAGTCAGTTTGAGCCTCATAAACTTTCGTGCTCTCATCCTTTGCGGCATTGCTGCCAATCTTGGGCTCGTCCAATGCAACCACGCTTGATGAACCTGGGAAGTTATGCTATGGCACGGCAGAGAACCTATACTTTAACATGGATTTCCTTTCGCTCGGCTACCGCTTCCTTTTTCTCCTAGTCTAGTCATTGGTGTTGACCGCATGTACTGCATGCCAGATTAACTCGGCCGCAAAGCTCCTACTCGATGACAACAGTGCTTTGGCCCGCCAAACCAGCGGACCTCCGCATGCAGCCCCCCTGACGGACCGTATGTTATCTTCTAGTAGACCAGTGATTAAGCCCGAGTTAACTGTTGCGAACAATAATAATAACACAAACCACTCTGGTGCCGCGTGGTAGTCATTTATCCCACTGAGACACCCAAGCGCTTCAGCGCCTCCCCCACCTCTCTTCTCTCCATTGTCCTTTTTCTGGACCGGGGCCTTGCCTGCGTTCTCATCACCACTCATACCACCTCCTTCCTTCTCCTGTGCCTCTCCGTCTTCATCTCCTTGCTCATCCTCGTCGTCGTCCTCTTCCTCCACTGCCGCCTTCTTAGCGACCTTTTCCCCCTTTTTCGCCTTCCCCTTCCCCTTTCCCTTTCCTTTACCCTTGCCTTTGGTCTTTTTCTTTCCCGCGGACACCTTCAAATCTTCCTCCCCCTCGTCATTGTCCAAGTTCGCAGCCCCAAGCCAGAAACTCCGCAACCGCCTTCAGCAGCAGCGACTTTGACGGAGCTCTGCCCTCCTCACCAGCCGCCTCACGGAAGATGTATCCAACAACAAACGGCAGTTGGTAATCACCATCCATCCAGTTCGGCCCGATCCAGTTGCACATGTCCTGATTGACCGCGCTGTTCAGTTTCCGCAGCTGCGCCCAGCAGATCCGATGCATGAGGAAATAATCGACGGTGATCTCCGGCACTTCGGCGTCAATTGTGGACGCCAAGCTGCGCACCAGCTCCGACGGAGACGCCCACTTGATCCCTAGCTTGGGCAGCGCCGTCTTCTTCTTGCCTTCGATTAGGATATTCTGCACGTCTTCAGCCGCAAGGGAGAAATCAAAGCTCTGGGGGCCCATCTTACAGTGGAACAGCATCGAGACCTTGCCCTGTTGCTGCAAAGCGCGCGAACCGGTCTTGGACGCCACTAGTTTGCCCTTGTTTCTGCGGCTGGGCGCCCAGTTGCCCTCACGGAAGCCCATCGCCATGCAGATCGGGCGAAAATAGCCAGTCGGATCCGTCGGCGGCTCTCCGATGAAGAACTTTTCCTTGCCGCCCTGCATTCTGTACATGAGCTCCATGTCGTGCCACTCTCGGTCGGCGACGCGCGAGGACGTGAGCGCGTCAGTGGTGAACGCATTGTACAAATGGCCCATGTACAAAACACCGCTCCAGTCAGCGTTGAACAGGACGCCGGCGTGGTGGAGGCGCGTGCGCATATCGTGCACCCACAGCCCGCAGTAGAGAGGGTTGAGCTCAAGGAAGAGCTTGTCCTTGACGCGCGCCCCGGCGCCCATCATGTGCTTGAGGGTGGTGATGGGGTCGTCCTTCCAGAAAGTGGCGTCCAGCTGGATGTCCTGCAAGAACTTGGTGGAGTCCGAGCCCACGATGGAAGTGGACGCGTGGAACTCCGGGTACTGCTGAATGGTATCGTTGACGTAGGCGTCAAAGGCAAGCACTTCATTCACGGGCTCTTTGATTTTAGGGCCAGAATTCGGCGGACGTCAAGGTGGATGGCCAGTGCGAGCACCAGCCAGAAGGGCATGGAGCCTCTCCACAGCAGATGATCCAGTCCGCGACCGAGCTCGTCTTTGACGGGGAGGTGGCTGCGACCGGGGAACGGATCCGCATTGTATCTCGAGATGTGGTTGAACTCGGGGGCGACTTCGAGGAAGGCTGCTTGGTCTTGCATCCATTTCTCTTCGTTGGTCCCCGTGTAGAAGTCCACATGGCAATCGTACCTGAAAAAGTCAGTGAGTGAGGACAGCCTGAGATTTCATGAGATGGGGGCGTCATTACTAGCCGAACTTTCCATCGTGCGAACTAAATCCCTCCGGATCAACGATTTTGTTGTAGAATTGTAGGTACGAGACGACATTTTTCATGGTATAGTCCAGTTCATCAAAGGTGTCGAAGTTGACCTCATCGCCGGGCCGTCTCCGGTGGTTGTGGCCCTTGCCTCTCAGGTTACAGAGAAGCACGTAGTAAAAATCGAGCCACTGGCCGACATTGTCGCCGAGATTGGCGAAATCAGCCGTGTTTTCTTCCATCCTGCGGGCAAGATCAATGGCTGTGTTGGTCGCCACGGCAGCGGCGGACTAGGAGAACTCGCCCGCGTCGTATGCCGTCCAAAGCTCCCTGGCGCGGGTTCGCAGAGTGTTCAGGTCCTTGAACAGCGCGGCGAAGGCGACGAAGCTCGAGAGGCGACTGTCGGTCTTCTCGGCTTCATAGTCGATGTCGATGTCAATCTGGCGATGATTCGCCGCGGATTGAGGCAAAGACTCGAGAGACTCGGTGGCATTTGCCTCCGAAACCTGGTAGACCTCAAGGAGATCAAACGGATTGGGGCCCGAAAGTGGCTCGCCCTTGACCGAGTCTGCCACCGGGAGCGCTCCTTTGAGGGAAGCCAGGTTAAGATCAGGCTTGGTTGCCTAGGGCTGGAGTTTGTTGCGGACCTTTTCCAAGACGTCGACGAGGATAGAGTTGCCAGCAACAGTGGATGTGATGGAGGGATCAGCGACACTGTCGACAACCATGTCGCCAAAGCCCTTGCGGATCTCAATAGCACGGTTGATGGCATCGGTGAAGAAGGCCGGGATGATGGGGTCGCACATTTGGCCGATGAACTCGGCGAGCGGCACGAAGCTCTGGATGGGTAGGGTATACTTGGGCTTCTCGGCGGGACTGGGTGCAGATCCAGGTCCCGACTGCCCGGCTTTCTTGGCTTGCTTGCGATTCTTGCCCTTTGGACGGTTGTCCTGGGGTTGCGGTGTCGCGGCTTGGCTCTGGGGATTGGCATTGCTGCCGGCGTTGAGCAGAGTGTGGGGGCATCCAAGCGACTTGGCCGTGTGTGCGAGCCATGACGCGACCACGTCAGTATCCTGCTTGTACAGCTGATACGTGCTCGTCAAGGCGGAGGGGAGCATCTTGGCGAACGATGTTAGTGGGTATGATGGGTGGTGATGTGGGAAAATCAAGTGAATGAGGGAGAGACCAACTGAATTTCAGGAAGTCGTAACAAGTAGCAAGAAGCAAAGCTGATGCAGGTGCGAAGGGGACGAAGCCAGAAAAGATGGGAAAGAAAGTAATCCGATAAAATCAGGCACACGTCGCGGCGAGCGAATTTCAGGGCTCGCGGGGTCAAAAAGGGCAGGGTAACCCGTACTGGGCGGGGGAAGCGTGGAAAAGAAAAAAAAAGAAGGAACAGAAGTTTTCGGAAGCCCACCAGCACGAGGCCGTGTTAAGAAGCGACCTTGCGCAGAGGCTAGGGAAATGACTTTAGTACGTAAGCCACACGTATTAGCCAATCACCGTGCACGTGGAGACCAGGCCCTGCTTAAGCACTGGGATTAAGTGCCCTAAAAGCTGGAACCAGGCGCTGTGGCACAGTCCCTGCCTAACAGCCGTCAGCGAATGCTTCATCGAGGGTCGCAGTGCCGCTTCATGGGCATTTGTTATGCCCATCTTGGGAAAGCATCGGTGCGGAAATGTGTATTCTAGCTCCCGATTGCTTTAAAGTCTGGAGCAAAGAGAGTTCTGCCATCACGGCGTTCGAGGTTCAGCAGCGGTATAGCGAAGTTATTGGCTACTAATTCGGTCCGCTCGGTTTCGTTTGCTGGGTGTGAATCTTGCTGCTGCCCGAGATAACAGTTTTCACCGCGCGCTTAAGTCACGATTTCAAATTCAAGGCCAGCTACGATCGAGAGCATCAGTTTGTCTGTATCAACGGCGAGGGAAGCTGCCCCTGCTACTTCGGACCCGCTGCTGCAACGATAACGAGCACGCAAAAGTCCAACGGCACTGGGAAGCCGGCCAGTACAGCCACTTAACCATCACCGTTTACCGCCTTGAACTGTTCCGTCCTTAGGAAGAACCGAAGTCTCGCGCTTCGACATCAATACAATACTTCTGAGTTGATGGAATCCATTGGCACAGTCAGCATCCATTATCCCACCCTTGATTTATCTTTCACGGACCAAAAGAACAGAGTATCACGTCGAACAACCTCAATCTCCAGTGAATCCTGTTCTTCCATCACTCATGGTCTGGCATCCTTCATGGCCAGAGCTTGTACTGTTCAGGTAACGGCGAACACTGCAACCTGGCCGAGCAGGTGCTAACATGAACATAACAGCTGTACAAGGCAGTGTAGACCTAATCACCACGAATATGAAAGACCCGGCTCAGCGAAGCTCAAAATGGCGGTGCCAAAGAGCGGAGGCAGAGAGCAGCCGATTCTCAATTTGATTCCCCGGCCAGAACTCCAACGAGATATATACACAGCGCCACTTCTCGCAACCTACCGAACCATCTACGTCCTCCTCCCCTTGAGCGGCCCGAGAGGATCCTCCTCCGATCTATCAGCCGCAACGTCCTCCTCGGCCTCTGTAGGTTTGGGCGCCGCCTCGCCCGCCGGCAAGCGGATGATCTTGTGCTCCCCAGGCGGCAGGGGATCCTCGTCCGAGCGGTCGGCCACAACGTCTTCCTCCGACTCGGTGGGGTTCTCGTGGACTTCGCGCTTTGCCTGGACCGAGGAGGCCACGTTGCGGCGGTGTTGGTGGAGACGATAGTTCGACGGCGAGAAGAGGCTCAAGTTT